CTGTTAAAACAAATAATACCTACAAATAATATCTATTTTTTGAGATTGGTTTTACATAACTGTCTGAATTTCATACAACTTCCAGAAAGCCACGATTTTGTACGCTTTCTGATACATGGCACTTTGGTATACCCTATGTTATCCTACCTTGCGATAAATGTTTCTGGCAAGTTGAAAACCTTAGTGCATAAATAATTTATTGACTTTAAACGAGTGTGTCAGATTATTTGTCGGGCAGTGTTTCATCAGTGTTTAGTAGAAAGTCGACGACGTACTCGGTAAAGTCCAGGACGAAGTTCGACCAATGGAGAGTCACGCGATGCTTGTTCTTGTAAGCGAAGACAAAGCCATAGAAGAAGAAGAAGAAGAAGAAGAAGTGGTCGGGGGATCTGAGTAGGGAAGAGACGAGAGTGAAGGCTTTCTTATCTGAATTTCAAGTACCATGCCGTGAGAGGAACATTCGCGTCTTCTCAGAGATTTGTGGTATAGCCTGTAAAACTTTTGTGACGCCATCGAGATTAATTAATGCACCGACTTAAGCGCGCTGTTATCTTCGAGAGATATATGCTGTATGCAAAATAAACACACACGCGCGGCAACGAGAAAATAATATATCCCAAAAAGAATCGTTATTTTCTAACAAAAAAATATCAGATTTGATCAAATCTCTTCTCGCGATGATATCATACTCGTATCTTGAATGGCCTATATAAATAACATGCACATATCAAATATTATAACATCAAAGCGACTGCTATCAACATTTTGAATACCGACGTATTTGATTCCACTGAATGACTACTAATTTTAAATAGTAAAATCGCATCAGGATCGATCACGCCACTATTTACGATGTTCAATAGCTCCGTTTTATTTTCGCCAATGATTCGCGATCATTTAGCTAGCGGTGCACGTTTCCCTAAGGCGATCAACTATTCCACGTCGTGCGGGTGCAACGATATAGTCTCTTATCTCAATTTCTAGCAGACTACAGAATGTAAGAAGTATGTTTCCTAGCGGTGGTGGTGGTAAGCCAGTTGTAGGAAACTTTCACGATATCGTCGAGAGCTAATTAATGCGCGATGTAAGAGGGAGCAATTACCGAGTTGGCCCCATTTAATTTCGGAGGCAGAATAATTTCGAGGCTTGCTTAAGGTGGAAGTGGGTCGCGGAACGGGGCATTAGCATACGATCGTGTATGCGACATCGCGGTGCTTTTTTATCTCGCTCTTGAGAAAAAGTCACGTCTCGCTCCACCCGGCTTTCTACCGGTGTTTCCGCACGATTGCGCCGCACAAACGCTTTCCTACGTAATAAATGTTGCTGCTGCATAATGTAATTTACCATTGACATCGCTTAGGACGAGTTTATGAAAGAGCTTTGCTTTGACGATGATATTGTTAATGGCTTCGCGTTTTACTCATTGCCGCATCGCAGATTCACGTTTAGTTGCATATATTGTTAAAGCACAATCGACCTCTAGCAGAATGGTAAATTAATTAACATGAAATCCAAAATACGACGCTGTGATACGCTTGCGATATGTTATACCTATAGCTTGTTTCCTTTATATGTGTATATCGAGAGAGAGAGTTTGCGGTATTAACATTTTAAAACTAAACCATTTATCTTCTCGTTTATATAATTTCTGTAATTTATTTTATCGTACAAATTTAACATTAATTTAAATAAAATTGTAAAAAGAATGCATTCGAAAGAGTTATTCATTTCTTTCTTGATATTTTTGTTTATATAAACAAATTTCGATCTTTTCATTGGCAATAACAGGATTCTATTTATATAAAAAAATAAGAATGTCTAAAAAAAGTAAGCATAAATCAATTTTTCATTGTAAAAGCTCCTTAAAATAATTTATCACGTTGAAAAGCTCTTATATTCTGTTGAGATCTTATTTCCGTCCGTGCTACTTGAGTTCGAATTTTCGGAAAATCCAGAGCGAGCGGCTTAGCGATTCTCCGCATAGGAACTTGAATGAACACGTAGGATTTTCGAACATGGATCGTAATCTGCGGGTACATAGTAGTATGGTATAGCCGTAGTTAGTATACAGAGAGAGAAAGAAAAAGAGAGAAAGAGTAAAAGGGGAGGGAGAGAGGGAAAATACGCGAACACGTTGGAAGCAAATAAAGACGAGCATCGAAGCTAGACTGTTAGACACCTATACTGTTGCAAGGAGCTAAGTTATATCATTTTGCAAAGTTGAACGCGCTAGCGTGGCTTTACTTAAGCCCTCCTCTGGTTGCAATAACGAGTTTAACGCGCGGCTGTTGTACCAGCATGATTATCTGTCTCACGATCGGATCGAATAATCAACTCTATATAGCTATTTAACTCTATATAGCCTTTTCGTGTTTTAGGTATTTAGAAAGATAAAGAAAATAAAAGTGTATACCCTACATATAACTGTATAGAATTTTTTCTCCTATATTGGTAAAAAAAAATTTCAAAAGTATATATATTGTATTAAGAATAAAGCATGTGTATGCGCGCGTGTATATAAATTTAATGGAAGAAGATTAAGGCAAAATAAAATAAAAAATTTATGTTACCATAAGTATAGTATACACCTCTCTAAATTCCTCTCTAAAATTATTAATTTTGAAATTTACTGCATTAATATATAAAATAAGAGCAAATTCTTTTTATAGACAAATTAAAAAATATTTAAGAAGTAATTAAAATTCGAAATAACACGCACATTTCTGCCGTAAAACGTTGGATTAAATTTGTTCGTAAAATTATTTTAAATAATGATTTCAAATGTGCTTGACTCTAATTACTGTGTATTTAAAGCAATAATTATTCAAATATTAGACTGATGCATATCGTGACGTAAGTAAAATAAATTTGTGCATTACTTTAGAACATACCTTGTCGCGAAACTTCAATTGGAAAGGAATTTTCGTTAGATTATTTTTATTACTTTCCGTACTTCAACTTTGTGCAATTTATAAAATTATGCATTGATGGACTTCGTGGTATTTCTGACATTTTTTAATATTTTACATCGCAATGTGCGGGAACAATGAAAGTGCTAGTACAATGCAAAAATTTGCGTGTATAAATGAAATTCAGCAAAATACCGTTCCACTTTATGCGTTATAGTCGTGATTACTCTGTATTCGACTCTTTTATAACGCTAAATACCTTTGTAATAAATGTACATTAATATACAGTATGTACATCCACTACATCCTAAAATAAGCGAGTTAAATTAAATCGTATAATAAAAAATAAAAATATTGCATCTGATGATCTTCGTTATTGATCTCTAAATTATTTTTTATTAATCGCTCAATTTTGTGATTTTCCATTTAATACATGGAGAATGCGAAATCAGTCCTCGTGAATGCTGTAAATATATAGCTTTAATTTCTAAATTAATTCCTAATTTTGTCTATGTACGACAAATTTATTTCATACATTACAAATTAATAAATATCTCAAGAAAATAAAGATCCTCATATAAAAAATATAATAAATAATATAATACTCATGATTTCAAATCGGCAAATATTTCGTAAAAATTACAGATGTGGGAACTTTTAAAAACATTGATGAGTTATAAAAATACGTTATATTACACAGGGCTTTTTTACCTTTGAGACAAAACTTTCCTTAAGTATTTTTCTATTGCACTATAATATAAATAAGAATGTTATTTCAAAATGTTTAACATAATCTTAATTTAAAAGTATTACGACAATAAATAAGAATATTAAAAAATTCTTCTTTCTATTATGGAAGTGATGTTTGGAATTAATATAAAAAATTAGATCAAAATCACTAGATATTTTGTGAAAACAACATTCAATTTTCCTAGAAATACTGAGTGCTGTAACATGTAAAGCTTTAAAAAATAGTAAGTAAGGTTGCGAAGGCAATCGCTTTGTATACATAAATAAACGCGAATATCTGAAATTCCAACATTTCTGTGACACATTGCATTCAATATTGCGCAGTTTGAACGTCGAGAAATGCGCGTGTCCATTTCGTCATTGTTCAACATTTCGAAAAACGCTCTAAATAATTCGATAAATACGGGAAACATCTCCGGATTGATACAATCAATAATATGTGCGAATTTAAATCGATAGATTTTCCAACCGAATTAAGAGCGAGAATACACTTGGGACCTTTTGGATGGATGAACGGTATAAATGCTGAAATCTTTTCTTTTCCGATTCGCCTTTTATTCCCTCTGTTCCGACTCTCTCATTACACCGTTCTCGTTCTCTCTGCGATGCATTTCTTAATAAATGAACCACTTTAATCTCGCGCTCGATGCTTGTAACTCACCTTCCTAATTTCATTGATGGAACAAGACAATAATCAATTCCATCTTAATATAATTTAATTCAAAGTTATTTAAAAATTTATTATCAAATTCGCGAAATAAAGCAAATAAAAATTGATTATTAATATTATCATATCATTCTTTGTAACTGCAAAAATATGTTAAGAACAGTTACAAATATTCCAATTATGCAAAATAAATAATTATCCCATTCCAAGACATTACGCAAAATATAAAATATTTAGAGTTTGTTTTTAAAGTAAAGAGAACATAAATAAATTATTAACAGTTATGGAAGAATTGCCACACAAAACTACTCAAAATTTGTCATGTTACATTATGACACAAATATTAGCACACGCACATAAATATCTCTATTAATAAAAATATGAAAAATAATAAAAAAGAATCAACTATAGCAAGTGTTAAACTGGTATAGCCTCATTAGCTTCGTTTTTATCTTTTTTTTCTAGGTCACAGTTTGGTGACACAAACATATAAGTGGCGTCATTATTCAGACAAGAGCGCAGTTATCCATGACTATTGCCAAGACTACGTGCATCGAAGTAGAGCAATTGAATTGATCATTGTGAAAAAAGTTTTAAAAAAACCAGAAAGAGGAACGTTTTTCAGAAATTAAAGGCTTCTGTGGTAATTAATTATCCAAAGTTGACGCGTGCCCTCGACATACGATGAAAATTACGGCGACATCGTTGCTCGTGAGCATCTGTTTGCTCGGTGCGGTCGATGGGGCCAGGATACTGGCGATATTTCCTTACAATGCGAAGAGTCACTACAACGTGTACGAGCCGTTACTGAAGAGACTCTCTGCGAGAGGTCACGAGATTGTCGCGGTGACGCACTTCCCTCAGAGAATTCGTCTGGCCAACTTCACTGACCTGGACATTTCGTCCACTTTACTGACAATAAGTCGAAACAACACTCTACCGGTCCCGGAAATCTATAATTTCATGATTTGGCAAAAGATTCTACGTGTATTAACCGCGGGGATTTGCGAGCCTGTATTGAGCCATCCAGAAATGAATAGAATTATCAAAGGATTATCGAAGGAACACTTTGATTTACTCGTGATCGAGATTTTTACCACCGATTGCTTCTTGGGTATCGCTCATGCTTTAAACATATCCAAAATAGTCGGTGCTATCAGCAGCGTTGGAATATCGTGGTCGAATGTGATGAGGAATCCTGAGAATCCGAGCTATATCCCCAACTGGATCAGCTCGTATACTGGGCGAATGAGTTTACTTGAAAGGTCGATTAATACGGTGCTTCTACCGATTGTCAAGTTGGCTTATAGGTAGGGCAACAGATGCGGCGGATATTTCCGAAATTGCTGGTAGAAATTAATATCTATATGATATTACCATTTTTAATGTGAGTATAGTATGTGTCGCATAAATGGTTGAAATTCCACTCAGTGCTATTGGAATGATAAGATTACTAATTACTTTTTGCAGATAAATGCGTTATCGAAATGCTTTTCCGAAATTTTATACAATAATGGATGCTTATGCTTCGACATAATTCGACATTAATTTCATTCCTAAGTATATGTAACAAAAACATGGACAAATATGATTACATCGATTATCGCCACAAAATATGCCTTAAAATTTAAAAGATTAGCTATTGAATAAACCAACCCATGTCATATGATCAATCATATTGTATGATTATCAGCTGAAAAGTTAACCGCAGATATCCTAAATCCACAGGATAATTTCCGATGAACCGAGTTATGAGATCACGAGAAAGTACTTCGGGCATGACTTGCCCGACTTTGATGCTCTTCGGTCCAGGATATCGTTGATCCTGACGAACGGCCATCCGGCCGTGAGCGCGGCACGTCCTCTGGCACCGGGAGTTAAGGAAATCGGAGGTATTCATATTCCGGTATCGGGCCCGAAGCCACTGCCCGTGGATCTCCAGGATTATCTGGACTCTCAGAGCAGAAACGGCGTTATTTACTTTAGTCTGGAATCGCAAATAGACACGTCCACTATACCGAACCAGGTGTTTGCCGCCCTTTACCGGGCATTCGAGCAAGTACCGCAGCAAATACTGTGGACGTGCACCAAAGAGAGAATGCCTCCGCTGCCGGGAAACGTTAAGTGCATCGGGTGGGCGCCACAGCTCTCCGTATTGTGTACGTATAGCTTTTTTGTTTCTGCGCGGGATTAAACGTCGAAAGAAGCTTATCCGCGAAGGTCACGAAAAGAGCACTCTCCCCTTCCTCTCCTCCCCCTAGCAGATACCAAGGAAGTTCTTGGTAATGGAGTAGATGTCGATTGAATCCTAGAAAGACGATAGAAAAAGTTTTCGAGCGTTCTGATTTCGTTCTCTTTTCTTATCGCGCATATTCCTTTAAAATCTATGCGCAAAACGAAAGAATTTTATTAATTAACTTTCTTGACCATTGTAATAGAATCAAATTTGACTTCAGTGTAGACATCTTGAAAGATATCACAAAAGATATACAACTTGATCTAGTTTATCATTTCTTTGATATTTATAAAATGTCATGTAAATGCCGCCGGCGGACGATCACGCCGGCCGACGTCGCGCCGCGACGGAGGGTTGGCGGAAGATCGGTAAAGGATCGGTGGAGTAGACGCCGGAATTTTTTACAACGCTATTAATTTTTCTTATTAGAGTTATCATAAATTTAGCGATTGACAATTACTGAGTAACGAAATAAAGGCACTCCGATATTGCAATATTTCTCTCGATAATCATAATTATTTAAATTCAACTAAGATTCTAAATAAATTAATTAAAAATCGCACTATTCTTAGAAGCAATAGAATTATTCTAATTTACGCAAACAAAGCTTCCTTTATTCTATGATGTATTCAAAATTTGCAGTAAGCTCGATTGCTTTCCAACCCACCGACCCACCGTCGATAGCGCTATTACCGGCGTGGTATTTGGTAGCGAATCCTCATATCCACATATATGCAAAGAGAATAATGCGTATTGCCGTACCGCCGGGCGAATCATTTATTTATTACGATATCATTATCCAACGATCGCATAAAACCCATTCGAACTTTGCATTATCGCTAAATAATCCGCGGGTCAATTTTGCACGAATATTGAACGGCTTTTAATGTCCATTACAAATTTACCGTTTGTTCTTATTAAAGTAGCACGACGCGTCTATCAAGATACGCGAGGTAAATCCTCTGCAAAGATATACAAGGTGGATCGAAATAAAAAAAGGAGAACAATCTGCTTTAAATTAACCGAAAAATGTGTCTGCAAAGCACAATGCTCGTATTTCAGAATCATCCCGCGTATGAAATATTCTGTACAAATAAATATTTATACGTACATTCTCTCTCGAATACGGAGAAAACGTTTAATGATTGCATGATTTTAAGTAGCAATTGTACAATTTCATTTCTCATACACCCTTTTATACACTAACGTTTTATGCTTTGGTAGATAATCAATTGCTTTAGAAATGCAACGGATAAAAATAATTGCATCTATATTCGCAGCATATACATATCGTCCGCACAATTCATACGATTTATATTCATGTGCAGAAACACGTGATTCGCTTTGGTTTTTTTTTATATCTTTTTGTGAGAGTGCCATTTGCATATACACCTGAAGGGAACAAATTATTTTCAGGTATTCACCCGTTTTTCCTCTAAACCACCGCCGCGTGACCAACGCTTTTCATGGAATTCCATTTTCGCTATATTATGCAATCAACCTCGTTATCCTTATTACGTCGTTTTATCCATTATTACGGCTTCATTTTTAAGCTTAAATTTTAAACGCGCTATCCAAGAGTCATTGCCACTTGTAATGTTCTCTGCTTTGAGATAAAGGATTAAAGAAAACTATTAAAATTTTTAATTAGTTATGAACTGGTATTAAACACAAAGTTTCACTTATTGTTAGTGAAGGCAAAAATGTATGTAAGCAAAATAAAAATTCAAATAAAAAATAATAATAAAAAAGAGTTGGAAAAGTTAAAAACGTGCAAGTAATTCTCATTTCCAAAAGTTAACAGTTACATTCAATCTTTGTTTGTGACTTCTTCATAACACGATGCAAATATGTACCGCACCAGAGATAATAAATAGCCTTTTATCGTAAATATGTATTAGGTCATCCGAATACGCGGTTGCTAATCAATCACGGAGGACTGCTCGGATTACAAGAAGCGATTTACTGCGGGATACCGATTTTAGGAATACCTCTTTTCGGGGATCACCATTTAAACATGGCCTACGTCGTGGAGAAGGGACTGGCAATGCAACTGGATTTGCAACAGTTCTCGTACGAACGTTTCTCGAGCAGTTTGAACGAAATATTATCGAACAAGAGGTAAAGTTCGATTTCTAAAGAATTAAGATTTTTATATTACAAAATATTTATCACACAATTGGTGCACAGAGCGATATTCCTTGTTAGACGATTTTGTTTATTGTATGATATAATAATTGTGTGTCGATTAACAAAGTACGTACTTCTATCTATACCTACTTGCTATTAATATTATTTAATTTGCTTGTTTTGCAGTTACACGGAAATGGCACAAAAGGCTTCCTTTCAATTCAGAGATCGTCTGATGCCGCCAGTGGAAGAAGCTGTATATTGGGTAGAACACACAATTCGTCACGATCCGGATTTTTTAAAAACAGGTGCCACAGAGTTAACGTGGTATCAATATTTGGTGTTAGATGTTGCTTTAATAATAATATCCGTTATAGTTTTCGTACTTTGGTTAATTTGTAAGTTACTTGGTCTATTATTCTTTAAAAAGAAAATAAGCATCGCTATCGATAAAAAGACAAAATAATTTTGCGCGCACATAATATGTAAAACATTTATCTTTATAAAAATAAGTTATTAAATAAATTATTGCAAAGTATATATATATATATGTATAATATTACATATAAATTAATTATTATTGTAATTTAATTGCTGAAGGCCTTTTGTTAAATTTTGGACATAATAAATTTCTGTATTTAAAACTTCCATAGATTATTAAAAATTCTTCTAATTTTATATTATGTTTGGTGTGTTTTGTGCATATCGATTAACTCCACTGAAGTGTTAAAAACCCTAATAATTTATAAAAGAGGAAAAAAGTTATCGACACCGCAGACACCTATCGATACCATCTGCTTGAATGAGTAGGTAGAACCTATCAAGCATCTGTTGCAACAAGTTATTGGAAGTCTGTCGGTAATTGTCAGGAACGACCGTAATCTCAGATTAATTGAACCTCTCCCTCGTTACTAGAAATCCTGATATAGCTTAACATAGCTTGACAAAGACTAAAGACAGCTGAGACGCGATTTTTTACATAGTACAGAAAGACGATGACGATGAAATTAAATTTCTACAAATTTAAAATACAAAGAAATTCAATCTATTTCATCTCTGTAAAATACAAATATAATGAAATTCTATATTTACTTGCAATCAATGCGAATAAATTTATATCTTCCAAAAATCATGATTTAAACTTGTATCCGTATAGGATATTTTATATTATTAAAGAGCAATACCTATATATTTATTTGAAATTATTAGTTGAGTTTTTCTGACCCGATATAACCGCGATGTATCCGTCGTTTTTAGCTTTTATCTCGAATATATAATCGCCCCGAGTGAAGCGGAATAGTGCAACTGACAAAAATATCAGAATGCGATTTATTCATTCTTTTGCACGGAAATATTATTAAACAAACCATCGTGCTGTATTGTATTTACTGGTGTGACTACGTAACCATATGACGTGAGATTTTAGACAGATGTTTAGCACGATAATTAAATAAATTTCTACAATAACATTTATTTTTGTATAAAAACGGACTCGTCGAAAATAAGATACATAGATTCATGAAAAAGATTCTTCGCTTTCTTTTTTTTAAACGACCGATTCAATTGAGACAAATTGCATCGTTATTTTAACATTTACAACGAGTCTTTGTTTTATCTCTGGTATGAATTATTCTCCAAAACACACGGCAAACGACTCGAGCGTAACCGAGTGTGTACACTCGCACATACTCGGTTTCAACACAATGGCGGCACGCCGTTACATTAATTGTAAGAGTCATCTTATACTACGGAAAGAAGCTTTTGCATATTCCAGCCTTATATCACTCACGCGCTTTATTATAAATGTGCAGGCGGCACAGAGAAAGCCAAAACAGGAAACCGGAAAAGCCAAGCGAGCGCGCTCGTAGGGAGAATAAAAGCGCAGTATAAATTGGGGTAAAGCCGTTGGCTCCTTTGTGCCCTCTGTGAATGCAATTCAATAAAGTGTTTAGAGCGAAAGCAGCACAAAAGAAGTCTGGCGATAAATGACAATTTGCTGAAGTTGGCAATTACGGTGAAGTACGCTGCTGCTGAAAGGTGGGCTTAATGGAAAGTTGTTAGGAAGTAGGCAACAATAGAAGATAGACTGATAGAGAGACGTCAGCCCTCTATGATTTTTTTCCAGGGTAATTTGCGCGGTCAAGTTGTTCGCTAGAGTAACTTATGTGCAATTTTACGCTAAAATAACAAATCCCTTGTAAACCCAATTTATTATAGTTCTCATTACACTATTTGAGACCTGTCCAACTCAGTTGATTTATCGTTTTTGCGAACTAATCTTGTATAAGCTAGATGTATAAAGCTAAGGTTTCCCGTTGACGCTAAAATACAAGCTATAACTTTCAGACACTGATACGAAAGCGTGACGATCGTGGTGCAGAGTTAGTTGTGCGGCTGTTCTAATGAGCCGAAAATCCGAGTTCAAATCTGTACAAAATCGTCGGTTTTTATTCGATCGTCACCTTTCGGAAGAAAGAGACAACCCATCGAGAGTTTCTTGCTATAAACGTCCCTCTATAATTATATAATCCTTACTATCTTTTCCGTTTTGAAAAGATAGTAAAAGTTATGATCACCCACCCAAAAAGACAGTTGCCCTACTTATCCAGAATATGATAGTATGTTTACCTAAATGATGATAACATGTCTATCTATCTAGATGATGATAGTACGTCTATATATATCTATCTAAATTATAATGCCTATTTACTCACTTTACCTCGATTCATCGATTATAACACAGATATGTTGTTTTGGCAGTTACGTGTACGTGATTTATAAGGAGTGCTACACTGAGAAAAAAATATTCAGGTAAAAAAATATATTTATTTAGATTGTTGCCAAGAGATTGTTGCCAAAAGCTTATTTACTTAATAAAATATTTTTACTTAATTTAAATAAAAATATTTAATTCTGAATAAATATGTGTATTATATTAAGTAAATAAGCTCTTGGCAACAATATAAATAAATGTTTTTTTGGATCTAAATATTTTTTTCTTTTTTCAGTGTAAGATTAGTTGATTCAACAGGATATATTCATAATGACGCTCTCGCGATCATCCGAGGTATAAAGAACTTAGGCAAATCAGGATATTAATTTGGGAATGATAGGTATTTAAATCAATGGCATTATATATATATATATATATATATATATATATATATATGTATATAATTACGTGCAATAAATTCCGCTGTATGAAGATTCTTTAGGCCAGATCGAACCTACCTTTCGTTGATCCTGGCCACACATACTGACTGTTTTTCAAACCGAAGAGTGACATGAAAGAAAGAAACTTCTTCTATTGCCCGTTATCATTGCCGACTTATCATTGCCAGCTTATCATTGTCAATAAAAGAGCGTAAGCTCTATTGTTACTCACGCGCGTCGATATCATATCGCGATGCTTTATAACAAAAAGTAATTAATCAAATTAGAATACTAATTCAAAAAAATTGCTTTAATTTTCCAAAATAATTACGTTTACGAATTATACTTTAATGCAGAGAGAATATTTCAAAATTACGCGTTTGTTTGGGACACAAGTAATTTTCATTCAAATCATTTAAATGTTATGATAAAAAGAAAGAACAATATCAAGATGTATTTCGCGAATACCGAAAATTAAACTTTTCGAATATAAACGGATATATGTATAAACATTTAAAAAATAATGAAAATTGTAAAATGCGAATTTAAAAAATTAAAAACTCATCTTTAACATTGTCACTATCGACATTCAAATATGACTTCGTATAATCCATCGTTATTCAACGACAGTGTCTCAGACGAGAAATGCGACATGAATAATGTGAGATCCAAAAGGAAAAATAAATTCCCTTCACAATTAATATCGCTGTCGTTTTTTTTCGTACAATATATATATATTCACAAATTTAAATATTAATAAATATATCTAGTTTGTTCATATAATCTTAAAAGTATTTTGATGTGATATATTAAAAATATATATTATTTTGAATTAAAATATTTTTTCGATTAATACAAAACTGATTTATCCTAAGATAATTTCTTAGCTTCTAAAAGATTCTATCTAAAAGATTCTTCTGTTCCGCGTCAAAATATTTATAAGATCTCACATCATATATAATTTTGCGCTTTATCTAAACCCAATTTACCAATTAATATATATGGATAGGTAACAAAAAAATTAAATTAAAATTGGCGCTTTAAATATATTTTATAAAAATATAGCTTTATAAATATGCTATATATAAATATAGCTTTATAAAAATAAATATTAATAATTAATAATCATTAAAACGTGTTTTTGATCAAATAAAGTAAATGCAATACGTATTGCATAAGTAAAATATTTTTAGTTTCATATTTGCGTATATGTATATATTATACTTATATATATTATATACATCTATAGTATATTGAAGGAATTTCTATGGATATACATATATTGCATTCGTACGCCAATTTATATAATATTTAATCTTGGAATAAAATATTTGAAAAAAAAGGAAAAGAAAACACTATATTAGCTATATTTCCACAACTTTTTCTCCATCTAAGATAAGAATCCGTTATAATACATCTTTTTGTTTTTTACCTTTATTATTCCTGAGAAATAAGTGTTATTAATAAAACTTTATTGATGAAAATTGATCAAAACTTTTATATTTTAAAACTATCAATGTCTTATTTGGTATACTATTATTTCATCTTTTTCTATTTATTAATATTAATTTAAGCAATATTAGTCCTAGGAACAAATTAAAAAATTTAATAATCTATCAAACATTATTAATTTAATATAAAATTTCTAATTGTAAAATAAGACACCAGAATGATGTACAATATAATAAGTAATACGCCGATATAGCTCGACGCTAATCAATAAATTCTACTTTGTAAGCTCTATATACTTTGTAAGCATATGTATGAGTACTTGCGAGTATATCCTCAAGCAAAGTACACAATAAATTGGCAAATAAAGAAAAATAATTCCAAGAGTAAATATTTATCTCAAATTAATTAACCTATCCATTTTAAGGCAATGGATCTATGAGATGTAATATTGATTTGTACTCATTATACTTTAATTTAAAAATTTACAGGTATTCAGATCTATGTATTTGATGTATATGTAAAGAAAGTGTCATAGATCCATGACCTCAATAAAAAAATGTATTTGTCACTCACCGACCGATGCGCAACGAGCGGAGTTATCAGCCACGTAGCTACGATGATGCTATAACACAAATATAAGATTCAAATTAAAACAGCGTTCAAAATTAATCATATTTAATAAAATAATTCTTGTGCGCGTCAAGCTATTTATTCATCTCTCAATTAGATATATATATAATTACTAGTATAATTATATTACGTTATTTTTTATATTATATTATAAATTTTTCGAAAAAGATCTTTACAAAAACAAATTTTGATAAAACTGTAAATTCTTTTTTCTTTTGATCATTATTTGTA